TATTTAATTAAAAAGCTATTATAAAAGCTATTAAAAGCTTTATTAGAAATTTATTATAACTATTAAGGTCTTTTATCTTAATTAAAAGGCTCTAATAAAGCTAGCGTTAAAAGGTCTTAATAAGGGCTACTCGTATTAGATTTAAGGTCTTTAAAAATGTTAAATTTAAATAATTAACTTTCTTTTTAATTAGCTTAAAGGCTTTAAGTGTTAACTTTAATAATAAATTATACCTTATTAGTATTACTATTATTATTAGACTTAATATAGGTTAAAAATTTAAGCTATTATAGCTTCTTTAATTAAATTTAATGAATTTAGCTTTAATAGAAGGTTTTTTTTATTAAAGGTTATATCTTTAACCTATTTAACTTTTAATTTTAATAGAATTTATATGTAAAAGATATTAATTAAGTTATATTTAATAAGATAGCTAATTTTTACGTGAGCTATTATTCTAAGAGCTCGTTTTTAAATACCTTAAAGGGCTTCCTAGATTATTAAATAGGCCCTATAGCTATACGCGATTAAATGCGTAATATTAGGCCTATTTAGATAACCTATATCGCGATTATTTAATTAAAGCTACTATTAAAGCTATTAAAAGGGTATCTTTTAGTTCGTGCCTTATTATAGTAATAGATTATAAAGGTAAATAATAGCTTTCTAGATCTTAAGCTATAATTCGGTAGAAAGGTTAGCTATTAGCTGTATTATACGAGCTTTTAACCTTAAAACACCCTTAAACCTTTTAGTAAGATATAGTTAATTTAGGTCTTATAGGCCGTTTAAAGGCTTCTATTATTATTCTAATAGATTTAATAGATACTTAATTAATATTTCCTTTAAATTTAAGCCTTAAATAATTAAAGGGCTAATAATAGGGTATTTTAAGTAGTGTTTTTAAGCTTAAAGACCGTTAAAAAGCCTAAGAATTTATCTTTAACCACTAAAGCCGCTAACTTATTATTATAGCTAGGCTTAAATTAAAAGATATTAATATAAATCCTCTAAAAGGGTCTTAAGCTTATTATCTGAGAGCTTCTGCGAGAGATAACCCTTTTAGCCTTGGCCTTGGAACAGGCTTCGCAGTCAATTTGTACGGGGCCTTAGACTTTCGACCCAGTAGGTCGTCTAACAGGTCACCTAGAAAGTAATCAATTTGAGGGGTTCTACGGTATCCAGCTATTGAAGGTCCGGCTTCAATAGGGTGGTGGCGCGAGCCTTCTTTTGAGGCTTTTCGTACAATCGGAAAGCAGCTATTTGAGGCGTTTTGGGGCTTATCGGGGTCCCCGATGAATAGCAGCCATTTTCCATTGAAAGGGGCCTTTGGCGTTGATAGATAATAGATGAAAAGTTTTTGTATTTTATAAATTTATACTTTTTTATACTTTTTAGCTTCATGTCGCGTTTAGTCAATCAACTCGAGACGAGTCGCGTGCCAAGCCAAGAACCAGTGGGATACAAAATACAATCGCTTACCAGAAATGCATTCATCTTGTCAGCAATTCCGTCCGATGAGAAGCCTGGATAGAGCAAGATAACCAGATAGACTGTACAACACTCGACTTGGAGAGTTGAGCCCCGCAACTGTGGTATCCTTGCTTCAATGAATCTTCGCGACGACCTACGGCTAACAGCGCCCCCGACGCGAATGGAGGAACCCTGCTTACGCTTCTACCGGACTTATTCAGAAAGCCCTCACCGGCTACTGGATACCGCGGACAATCGAATTCACACGAGTTCATCAGCGTACAAACAAGACCCGAGTCGGATGACTTGGGAGCCACTCGATCACAGAGATATGTTCGGCATTACTAAGAAACCCTCCCTTGGCCGCTCCCAATATCCCCCCTTTTGTTGCATTCTGATCCGCGGCTGGCATCATCCTCCTCAACTCGGCAACTTTGACATGTTCTTCCTCTCCGCCGCACCCATGCGCCGAGCCTGGGCCATGGTACGTCGCACTGCGTCGTAGGGACAGGCCTCTGGCTGAATTAGGCAAGACCAAGGGCAAGGCCTCTTTTGAGATTCTCAACAGCGTCTTTCGGAAGAGGGTCCTTGTCGTCAAAGGCACAAACCCTCCGCTCCGCGCTGGTCCATGTCGAGATGTCCAAGCCATCGCCGCCAATGGCTTGCCTATGCCACCCACGGTAGGCATACACAGGCGCGACACACTCGCGCCGGTAGGCGGCAAAGGCCCTCGCCCAACCCCACGGGTCTTTGGCGTCCGTCTTTGGCATTGTGAGGTCGGTGTCGTTGGCCGTGTCGGCCGCGCCGGGCACCGTGATGCCACGCCGACGGGCATACGACTGCAGATAGAGGCTCAGGTTGCCCGCGCGGAACTTGAACGCCTTTGAATTCAAAGGCTGGGCACTCTCCAGCAGACCTTGCTGCCGCATCGCCTTGGCCATCTCCTGGTACAGCGCCATCATCCAGCCCAGGTTCTTGGTGTCGGTGTCGTTGGCAAGCTGGGCCTCGCCGTCCAGCATCGCCAGCGCTGCGAGCACCATCCGGGCCAGCTGTGCCGCAGTCATCCGAATCATCTCTCCGTCGTCGGCCATGCACATTCCAAAACCCTCGCCCACTAGAATAAACAGCGCCATGCCCTCCACCACTGACCAGGCCTCGCGCCACTGCTTGGCTTTGTACGCCTCGTTGAAATCCATCAGCATGTTCTGCACCACCTCGAGCGCTCCGTAGGCCATGTGATCACCGAATGTGTGCATTCGAAACGCGTCGGGGTTGCGAAGGTCCATCATGTTCTCTGCCATGCGATATCTCGCCAGGCCGGCCCTGGTCATGGTATATTCGTGGGAGGGGAGCGAGGCGGCCGACTTGCCACATGGGCATGTCTTGCCCCCATCACAAGCTTTCTTGGTGGGCTTATCGTTTTTACCAAGACTCGCGCCGCCGTCGTCCTCTGCTTCGTCCTCTTCATCGCTCGCGTCGTCATCATCGTCATCCTCGTCGTCGCGGCCTTGAAGGGGGTTGCAAATGCAAATAGACTCGTACGCGTGACGGGGATCCTGCATGGCAATTTGGTAACCTATGTCCAAGTTTTTCGAGCCCGATACCTCTGCCCAGCGCTTTTGTCTGCGCTTGATAGTTGACTGCAGCTGGGGATCCTGTGGCTGAGGTTCAGGGGGCGCCTCCTGGGCGCCTCCTGGGCGGCGGCGGCGGCGGCGGCGGCGGCGCCGGTCTTGGTCTTCTTGCCATTGCTGCGCTCGTCAATGTTGGGGGAGACAGATTCGAGGGCCTTGCGTTTCGGCGGCATCGTGAAGTTTGAGTGGGCAGATTCGGAGAGACGGACGGGCTGCGTTACCTTGTTGGAAGAGCGGCGAGTCGACACGTTTATCAACGCGAGGAGAGACACCCCTGGCTGTTGCCTGCAACGCGACATGGGGTGACACAAGTGACGCAGATTTACGCGTCGACACGCCTCCCCACCAAAACTCCCGTAAACAAAATCATCTTCGGTCTTAGGGTTAGGGTTATCCACCAAAATGGCTCCCGAGACCCCACGAGTTGAATATAGTCCTCATAAGCGTCCAAGAATTGTAATGGCATATAATTTTGAGTCCCATGGCCCTAGTAATAGCGATCAAAGAGGGATTTCTTACGGCAGAACCCGTGCGAAATGACAATTTCCGCATCGGTACACCGCCTTACTCTCACCCGCGTTGCATGTTGAACTTCAATGGCATGGCCATGAACATAACATGCATACTCACCGCGATGACTGGGGTTTCCAATGTTGAAAAATGCTTGGTTTTAGGATTCACCACTGGACCAGAAACGCATCAGCCGCGGCGACCGATATTTTGAATAGCGAAATGGTCTTGACCTGAACCCGGAAACTCTCCTCTCCGGTGGACAGAGTAGCAGCGACTAGATTAGCAAAGTAAAAGGGCTCTAAATTTGCTAATATAGCTTGTTTCAAAACGCTGCAACAGCCGATTCACCCTCAACTCGCGCCATGACCAGTCACTCCCCCATAGTAGCATGCCTACACTCTGGGTTTCGCCTATCCCCATTGCTTACGACCTCAAAGCCTTGCATGGAATCCAGCGCAGTCCTGATTTCGGCCTTGTAACTCACGATCCCAGCGGAGTAGCACATAGGCTCGTACACCTTGCCAGGAACGTTGCCTCCCATGTAGGTAGATTTAGTCGTCGGAAACAGGGTCTTGTCGTTCAGCTCCATGACGTGCCTTGTCCATTCCTGGGCTGCTTCGTGTTTTGGATTCACGTACTTGATGTCCTGCCGCTGCATCTTGTCCACCATGTCGGCAATCCAGCGGCCTTGGACCTCAACTGTCGTCGGGCCATTGCTGAGAAGAGTTGGTCCATGAGGCCCGTAAAGATGGAACATGTTGGGGTAGCCGCTGACGCTGATACCCAAGTAGGTGCTTATCCCGGAGGACCATTCTTGCTGTAGATTGGTGTCATTGATGCTCTGTAGGCCAAGCTGCGTCATTGCTGTACAAAACTGTCAGCATCCTTTTTTGGCCACCGTGTTCGAAAACAACTAGCCTACCTCCAGATACAATGTCCTAATTATCGTAGTTAGCAAGAGACTCCTCCAGTCAATATCGGGAAGCACGTACAAATCCTGTGGCAACCGCAATCACATCAAACTCTTGATGCGTGCCATCTTCAAGGGTGATGCCCGTCTCGGTGAATTCCTTGATGGCGTTTTTGCTGATGTCAACGACATCAACACTAGGTCGATTGAACTGCTCGTAGTAATCATGTTCGAGGCAAGGACGTTTGATGCCAAAGTAATGGGGCATCGTCTCTGGCGCGAGCAGGTCCCTCTTGCGTGCATCGGCAATGCGAGCCCGGACCTTCCTTGTCCAAAACTTGTACGATTCTTTGTTGGCCTTGGCGTCGAACAAGTTATCCTTGTAGATGCTGAGCCAAAATTTGAACCCCCCATCTCGCCATGCCTTCTCATAAACTGCCTCGCGACCCTCGGGAGGGTCGTCGAATGTATTCTTCTCGTACCAATCGTAGTGGAAGCCGGCGAAGCTGGTCTCCCGGAGATGAAAGAGTTCGGGGTAGAGTACTCGCTTTCGCTCTTGCTCTTCGGGAGTCGTTTTCCTGCGACGCATTGGCAGGGCTAGATTCGGGGTACGCTGGAAGACCTTGACCTCGCCGGCAACCGGGCCCCATGCTTGAACAATCTGAACGCCAGAAGCGCCTGTGCCAACGACGGCACATCGCTTGTTTGCCACGTCTACGTTTTCCTCGGGCCAGAAAGAGGTGTGATGCATGACGCCTTTGAACTTGTCCATGCCCGGCCAATCGGGAATATAACGCCTCGCAGCCTGGTGTAGTGGTATTCGTGAATCAATAACGCCCTTTATAAACCGGCCCAGAAAGAGGAGGAGGAGGATGCGAGGACTGGGAAAGATAGCAGCAAGGCAGAAACAGGCGAATCAAAATCAACTTGTACTTACGAATCCAGTTCCCAAAACCAAGAACTTGGCTTTCGCCGTTCGCCCATCTTCTGTACCAACACTCCACTTTCCGGTTGCTGTATCAAAGTTGGCGCCAACAACCACCGTGTTAAACGAACAGTCCTTTTTTACGCCAATGGTTTTGTCGACATGATCGAAGTACGCTCGCACATCCCGGTAGTCAGGGTAGTTGGACGGCCAGTTCCACGTTTTCCAGACTTCCGGCCAAGAAAATTCATACTCGGGAACTTCCGAATCTACTGCTGCTCCGGGATACGAATTCCATCTCCAGGTTCCTCCAAGGTCGTTTCCCGCCTCAAAAATAACAGCCTTGTATCCGCGATCCCGGAGAGTCTTGAGCATGAAGATGCCAGCTAAAGTGTGTGAGCACCCGACCCTTCACAGTTGGAAACTGGGATTGAAGAGACCTACCAAAACCGGCACCAACAATTATTGCATCAAGGTCCAGGTTGTCAGCATACGGACCATCTTGCTGGTGGCGAGGTAGAGAGTAATCAGTCAGCTCAGTATTGAACTTCTTGGGACGTGTAGGAATTGACTCCCCCATTGTTGACACCTGGAAGTAAAAAATAGGATTGAGTGGTTAGCTGTGTTATTTCGAGCCGTTTTGTATGATTGATTTTGAAATGGTACCTCTGTGATGGGTGATCGGTCAGGTTTTATAATCCCGCATATACACTCCTTGCAGCTTGTCATCCATGCACCCGTCCCTGGGTAACTAAATTTCGGTGTCTCCTCCCATCCCTTATCTGGAGGACCAGTATGCCCCAAGCGGCTGATGTGTATATTATTCGCGGGGAAGGGAGGAGGTTCTGCATGATTTGGTTGCATTGTATATGCGACTGGCCGAATTCGTATATCATGCGAACAAGCCAATATGAGATCCCTGGCTATCATGGACTTGGAACTAGTATAAATACGTGAATTTCATACACGTAATAACTTAAAAAAATAGTACACCCATTTGCATGTGCAAGCATGGCTGTCCAGGAGACGCTCCAGGAATTCCCCCGAGCTTAGGGCCTTTTACATTCTGACGCCTGCGGGAGATTATTGATGATGCCATACGTCGAATATGAGGTCAACATTGACATTGTCGGAGGCTGTCGTGAGATCTGCCAGCTGTACTACCAAAAGTGGAGAAGCATCCAGTAACTAGTGCGGATCATTATCTCTCTTTGGGCTTCAAAAAGGCACTCTCCTAGTGGTCGATTGGGGTCGAGATGAGTCGTTGACGCGTGAGTTGAATGTTGCAGTACGCCACTCGCAGGGATCACATGTACGCAACGGCACAACGGCATACTCATCCGTGAATACCTGATAATAGTTGGCAGATTGAAATTTTGACACCGAGTCGAAGCGTCGGCGCCTGGAAACTATCGCTCGAGAGATTTCTACGAGTTTGCGCAGACTCTTCGCTGATGCATTCAGGCCTGGAGAGGGCTTTCTGAAGCAGCACTTGAGAGATTGAGACCCGTCCAATGGGAATAAATGTGCTTTGTGGACAAGGGATAATGTCCTTGGACGTTTCATTGTCTTCGCAGTCTGGATGATGAAAGAAGAACAGAAGGCTCTTGCTACAGACGGAAGAAGAAACATGGATAGCCCAGACGATGGTAGATGGCCACGGCCGGCGACAAAATTATTCCGGCTCCTTGATTGAAAACGAGAGCAGAACCCATTGCTACCGCACGACGACAGAGTGTGGCTTCAGAGAATTCATCGAACCATCGGCGACAACTGGAACAGGTTTCATGAATGCATCCATGATTGTCGTTCAGGTTATTTGGTGTCAGTGACAGGTGCCTATAGGCAGTCATCCGTCCAATCATCCAATCACGAAGATGTCTGTATGGCAAAACTCGCTGTGCTGCTGCTGTGGTGTGTGTGGCTTGTGCTTGTGCCTCCTGCCCTGTAACCCGCCATGCCTACGTGGCTGCCTATAATCACGTGACTTCGCACAATACTCGCGCAGCGACAACGCCACTTGAACACGCTAAAAAAACGCGGTGCGCCCTTGTATTGCCATGTGGCCGCCGTCATAAAAAGCAGGTGCGCTCCATGCCACTTCCCTTTCAGCCGAATGCCTACCTATCTTTGCGACTTTTCATCTGGACAACTGCCTACTCAGTAGGTATTTTCTCTCCCTCGTGTGTATCTTTTGCACTCCCTTGGTTCGCAGTTTTGTCGACCAAATTCAGCCTCCAGGCTTTGGCTAGTGTAAAGCGAGTGACTCGCTCTAGCGGGTAGACAGGGATCTTGAGCGTGTCATCGTTGTGTGCCACCACCAGAATCCACGCACCAAAGCCATCATCATATTGCGCCACCAAAGCAAACTAAGGCTTCGACTACCATCCGCAGCACGAGAATATTTCATAGGAGCGCCGTCTTCGACAGACTACGCGCCATTGTCAAACCGCCAACTGCTTGCCAAAGACCTGTATCCGTGACAACACCATTCGCAATTCCATCGCAGCTATCAGACACAACGCCGCCCGCAACGCCGGCTCCCCTCGTTGACAATGTCACAGACATCGTCGACCTCTTCGAGGCACCGTCGGTGCAAGAAGTCGCAAATCTTACGACCCGCTAGAAACTCCCTTTGTGATCTGCTGCGCCGGCACGCCAACACCTCTCTCTTCCGCCCACCCGTGCAGTGGACTGACATGCACTCGCATGTCCTCGGTGCGCACTTTCACGAACTACCACCCTGCGACACACCGTTGCCCCAGAATATCCCCGGTACTCCTCCATCAAAGGGTCATTTGCGCCCTTCCAAGACCATTACGACACTAAGCGACGCCTTGACCGAGATTTTGCATCCCGATGGCGCGTGCACAGACTCGTATTCAAATGCAACTAGAAAGAGTTCAATTGCTGTCCAAACTGTATTGTCAACACTGTGGCCGGCTGTCTTCGGGCAGTCCCTCCTCTTCCCAGAACTGCACATATACTTTGGCGACCGTGTTTTTACGAGTGCTGTGCACATGCAACTCATGTGGCTTTATCCGGATGACAATGTCCAGTCATCACAAAGCTCCTTCAGGTCAATTTCGACCCGACCTGCCGAATCTAATGGTCTCATTTCGGGCTCAGCACCCGCGGCTCATAATCCAAATGGCCTTCCCATGATTTGTTACATTGGAAGGGATCAACTGGCTACGATGCGCCGTAGCGTTTTTCGCGTTCGGCCGGGACCGGGACGAAGCCAAAATGAACCAGTCTCCCGGATGTACCTCCTCCGATCCAAGGCATTCATGCCCGCCAATTCGAACCACGATGCCTATTTGGTGGCCATCTTCCTAGCCATGGCACAACGACATTTTTATGGTGCACTTGCACCTTCGTCCTGCAGAGACTCCCGATGGTCTCCTTGGGTTGGAAAGTCGCGCCGTCCAGCATTTGAAGATCTCAAGCTCAGGATCCTCACTCACGACAGCGATATGGCACATTTTATCATTTATACCGGGCACATAACATCCAAGTTCCTGGACAGGTTTCATGACCCTTTCGCAACTCCCACGTCTGATGGGGATGAGGATGATGATGACGCATCAGGTATCAGAATCGAGTACACCAAAGTTCCTATCTGGCCAATCCTTGGCTTGAAGGAGCGACTTGGCAAAGGTCTTGGCGAGGAGGTGGTGGGCCAGTTTGATCCGTCCGAAATGGAGACATGGAACATTGATTCCGACGACGACGTACCCAGAAATACCAAGCGCAAGCGTGAAGCTCTTGCTCATGTGTTCCGTTTTGAGGAGGAAACGGACGACGACGAACAGGAGTCGTCCTTGAGATCAAAGAGACAAAGATTGCAAGAGGGACCGCCCATAGGGGTTGGAGCCTAGGCTTTGCTGCTTCAATTTCTGATGGAATTGACTAGCATGTTTATTCAACTACAAACGAGGCCCTACGGGACTTTGCATGAATTGTATATCCTCATGTGTATCTGGGCTTCGGGGGGCACGATTTCCATCATTAAACGGTGAGGGGCAGGCGTTCAAGCGTACATCATGACGGCAGGGATGCACCTATCTACTGGAAAGAGCATGCAATACAAGCGCCGAGTATCTGTTAAAGTCGGGAATTGCGGTTCTATGATTCATATTTTACATGAGGCAACAGTGTTACGAATGCACAATACTTGTCATTGATAACGCCTTGTATTGTGTGCAATCGCAACGCCAGTCTCCAGATACCCAAACATCAATACAGGCCAAAAGATGAATCAACATCCCAAACACACACACACAGGGGTGTCAGAAGAACTGCCCCAGTCTCTCCATCAGTATGTCACCCTCATCTTGTCCCATTAAGATATTGAGTGGCTCCGGGTCGTCTACGGGTGCTTCTGTGGCTTGGTAGCGTTTTTCGCAACCACCTCTTCGTTGACGAAGGGCCTCGCCCAAACCAACCCGGGACGGGGACAAGCTCCGCAAGCAATTTCAACCTAAAGCAGTTAGTCGTCTGAAATAAAATCAGGAGCCGATACATGGTCGACTTGAGCACGAGAATCTCGCGTCTTGCATGTACTGCCATGTATACCGTGGCATATCTGGGCAGGCAAGGCAACACGTACAGTCGTGGGATTCTTGCAGTCCGGTTTTGTGATGTAAATGGGGCAGAGTATTCGGGGTGGGTTCACCGCCATCGGCCACGCCAAGACGGGCGTGATTGGGATGATGAGGAGCAAGCTTGCGGAGAAGTACATGTTTGCGACGTCGCGGGCGAGAACCCCGTGTTTTGTTGTAGGGAGTATGTGGGCGGCGGAGAAGACGGTGTCTGAGATGAGGGTTGGGGAGACGTGGCCTGGAAGAAGAAGGGCTGCTGGGCCTTTTATATGCAGTCCATGTTGGGCTGTTGTGTTGGGTTTTTACGCTTGGGTACAAAGACTTGTGGCTTGGGAATATGGATTGAGATGGCTTGTGGCCGGCGCGTGTGTAGCGTGGGTTATGAATGTGTGCAAGTGAATATCATATATCATGGAAGCTGGTTTTTGAGGTTTGTGACGCGCAACTTTTTGGTGGCTTGGGCCGGCTCAGCGCTTTCGTACACATCGATGAAGGATTAATTGTACGAGTTATTCCCTACCGCCTGTGAAATACGATGTAGCGCCAACATTTGCATACGTGTTGTGCTCATCATCGTCCAGTGCTACAGACCGTCACCATTGGTTTTGCAGGGTATACCGGGACGGAGCCGGGTTGGCGAGTTTGCCTAGTCAGCCATCTTCAGCATTAAAATCCAACATGTACGCCAAAGTACAGATCGATTCTTGACCGAGTGTTTTCTAGCTGCAGGCCTAATTGTCAAGGTCGCGTGGCGTGTACACCATTCAAACTCTGTCCACGGTTTTGGGTGTCGTTAGCCTGTCTCAAAATGGTTCAAACTGAGCTCACTCATATAGTTGCTAAATCGTCCTAGATGAAATTGATTGGAAATATGATGATTATGCAGTTCATCTTCCAATAATTAAAAAAAATTAGCTGTTTACAGGCCGCGTAAGTGCATCATCGTGGAAACTGCCGCGCTACCCCGTGGACTGATACAAAAAGAAGTTCATACGGGCCGGGCGCTGAAGTCGGTCTGATATAGTAATACATTTCAATACGTCATATATCTGGTAACACGTCGTCAAGAATTCTCAATCTCATTGGGCGTTGGATCGACTACATGGCTTCTCGGCGCTCATCATTACGCTGAAAAAATAACACACGTTTACACTCCATCTTTGAGCTAATCGATTTTCAGTCGGCCCAAAGTCACTTGAGTACCAGAGTAAGGAAGTTTAATATCATTGCCATTTGAGGAGAAGCCAATCCCGTGGTTTCTCGTCTCTTCGCTTGGCCTTGAAACACCCTGGCGGAATCCAGACGTGCTTGACAAACTTCTACTCAACTCTCTCTCAATTTCAGCTGTCCGCGTAAATTAGTCTTCAAATTGTTTCAGGATGTTGTGCCTAAACATAACTCGCAAATCTGACTTACTGTGAAGATGTACAGCCGCCGACTTTCCAGAGTGCAGCGCGTGCAAAACGTTGGTGCGTATGTCGGAATTTGCGTCACCTACGGCGTACACCCCTGGAACACTGGTGCGCATATCTTCATCAACTACTAGCTTGCCATTTCTTGTCTCCAAACCTAGCCTCTCACCTATACTTGATCGCTGTTCGTATGCAAAGGTGGTAAGCAGAACGCCACGTTCGGCGGGAGAGCCAGTGTCAAATTCGACGCTGAATAAGTCGTACTCGGGCGCAGTTGGTAGGGAAGGGTCCCTATTGGGGTCTTCACCATCTCGCAATCTGGTGATCCGTGTCACCGTCCGATTGTCCACTTTGACGCGCCGCTTATCGAGATATGCAGACGAGTTTTCCGCGAAGGCTGCGTCGGCGCGGACCCGATTTTCATATGTATCGGTGCCATTTGCGAAGATGATTATGTCGCTATTCAGATGGGCTACTTCGGCCACGGCCTCTACCGTCTTGTCATAAGGGCCCAAAATTCCAAGTGGCTGATCTGCGTGTTCATGGCCGTCACACCACGGACACCAGTAGATGCCTTTGCCGAAATTCTCTTGTAGTCCTGGGGTAGGGGGGAGAAGATCACGCAGTCCAGTGGCAATGATAATCTTCCGAGCTGTGTAAGTCGAGGTTGAGCCTTTAGCAGTCTCGGTCGTGGCGATAAAGTAGGTGTTGTTCGCCTTGGATCGGATACTCGTTACCGTGCCGTTCACCGCGTCAACTGTTTTGTAATGAAGAATCTGTTGACGAGCCGACCATCGGAAATATGCCGCAGTCACACCTGCCGCAGCCATTTCAAATTAGAGTCAAATTAAGCAAGGAGCCTGACCCGTGTGCGGAAGAATACTTCGTACCGTCAAACCCGGCGACATCATGTATACGTCGTGTAGGGCTGTTGCGATATTCGCCCGAGTCTATCAACAATGCCGTTCGTCGTACGCGACCAAGAGCGCTTAGTGCGGCCAGTCCTGCTGGTCCACCACCCACAATCAGAGCATCAAAATCAGTTACAAATGCATTTGTATCTTGCTCTTCACCTGGCGGTCTCGGGACACCGGTCGCCAACCAGAAGAGGTGGAGAGTGAAAAGGATTGTCGTCTTTGGCAACATTTTTCTTCCGTCCCTGATGACATTCCTGACGATCTAGAGCGCTGAGTTGCAACTCTAGCCAGGGTTGGGACTGCCGTTCTCTTATGTACGTCAATGTAACTAGCTCAATGATGTTATCCGCACCAAGGTGACGCCTTCATCTGTGTGATGGTTGTGATGTCACGGTGCATACGGAAGCCACCAGTGATACGCTCCCAAGCTCCTTCCACTTCCAGAAAGAGCACCAGGGGCAGGGACTATTTATTCTGCATCGATATGAACCAATAAGAGGCACTTGCTGCCTCATTTTTGGACAGCCACATAAAATAAAATACGTGGCGTCGTCACGGACCTTTTTCCTACTCGACGCGAGCTTTGTTCTTTGTCCCTCCCTCACTCGCGTCCCGGCAAAATTTTCTGCCTTCTGACTTCTATACAATATGTAGTCCCGTGGTGGCACGCACCTCTGCTTAACAGTTTCCACCTTCATTTTCCTTTGCCTACATCCTCGTAGGATCCTTTCCACCATGCCGGTGGTTGCCGCCGATAGCGATTTACCCAAGTTGCTCAACACGCCCTCGAAACAAGTCAAATGGGCAAAGAAACTAGTCGCCGAGCACCTGAAAAGCGCTGCCAAGCGCATTGACAAGCCCCCCATGCAAGGAATGTTCAGCAGGACCCTGTTCGTTACCCTCGCTGACGGTCGTGAGGTGGTGGTGCAGTTTCGCACCGAACCGCTTGATATGGACGCGTTCAAGATCGCTAAGGCGTCGCTAGGCTCCATTGTACCGGATATTGAAGCTCTTGACAATGAAGAGTTGGAGAGGGCGCAGGCCTGGGCTTACTGCCTCACCCTCATGCCCGGTAAGATGTGGCTGCATGGAGTCGCCGGGAAGGGGGCTGAAGGACGTATTGCCGTCAACAAGTCATTAGGCCGCGTCTTTTCAAAGGGCTTTCTCGCCAACAATAGCTGTGAAGCTGTTGAAACCAAGCTCCGACCGCACCTGCAGGCAATCTTGGCGTCACCGTTGGAAGATATCCTTCCCTATAAAGCGACAGTTGAGAGCTTTGTCAAGAGGCTTGATGAGTTTGCCCAGCTCCCGCTGTGGGTTGCTCATTACGATCTTAACGAAGTGAACGTGCTCATCGACGAGAAATGCGACGTCACCGCCTTGACTGACTGGGAACTATCCACCCCGCTGCCCTTCGGGGCCGGCTTCGGCCGTATCCACACCATTGCCGGCGAATTCACCCAAGGCGAGTTCTGGATGCCGGATGAATTCGAGGTTGCGGAGCGGGGCTTCTGGACGGAGCTGTTCGACGGAATGCCGCAACACGTACGAACAACGCTAGAGGGACGCATTGACTTGGTCCAGGATGTTGTTATACTTGCCACGTTGCTAAGCTGCTTTTGCTTTGAGGATGGGGAGGTCAGTGTTTCCGAGGTTACCTTGAAGGCACTTCCGAAATTTATGACCTATCAAATCCCTTTTGTCCGAGGGCAGGAGAAACCGTATAGAGAATGATGTGAAGGTCGACATAGAATGTGACAGGGAACGTGGAGAGATCGCTGAAATTTAAATTTGAGGAACATGGCAAGCAAAATGCTACCTAGCAGCTGCTAAACGAATCCTGCAAGAACGTGATGGGAACTGTTCATTCGTCCTACTTGACTTACGTAAGAATGTGTCCATACTCGGCCAGAATCCCGCTGGCAAACCACAGTGACCTGCCACTTTGGTCCTACAGACTTTGATACCAACTATCTGGATACGACTCGTAGGCTTCACGCGAAAATGCCTCCCGTCAGTATCATGGCAGCTTGCTAATTCTCAAGATACGCTGGAGGGCCGCCGTACCAAGAAAAGGTATAAGTCCGTGCATCATACTTCTATATAGGTCAACTCTCAAACATACTGAACTTCTAGATGTGGTTATTTAAGAATGATTGATACCCACTGCCACTTGTAATTATCCGCCAATAAAAATACCTACACTCACCACATCAGCCATAATGGGCCGAATCTTCTCTGGGAATATATTTCGAAAATAATTCTGCGACTGTGAGAGTAGTAATATCCGGTAGGCGGCCATTCAAAGTGTCGTTCTTGGCATCAAGATTCATCCATCCAGTAGCCATAGCAAGGCCAGCACCTTGCCGGATTCTCATAACCATCTCTTTCGGCACAAAAGGATGGATTTGAACGCCACTGGGCAGCTCAGGGGTATAACCATCCTGAAGTCTGCTTAGACTTAGGTGCGACACGTCGAATTTGCCTGACCGGATTGTGTCAGTGCCATTTGCGCAATCTTGAAACCTGAAGAAAAAACTTACAGCCTGCAGCGGCCTCAGCGAGATGAACCATCTCATCCAGAGTCAATTATTCGCCTATGATATGTGATTTCTCGCGCCAGTTGGAAAATCGAGGGCCGCCGCAATGAACTTGCCGACGTCGGTGCTATGTGTAAGGGCCACCGGTGTATTTCTACCCCCGGATATGGTGGCCTCTCGGCTCTCATGGTCTATGAACAGAGGCAATACCGTCAACTGACTTGGTGCCTTGCGGGGTCCAAAGTAGTCCATGAAGGTACTGGCAATGAACCTCGTGTATTGTAGTTCGGTCTTTAGGAGCTCCTCAATCGCAGCCACTTGAAGCTGGTAGAGGGGAACGGATAGTTTCTACGGCGTACTTATTAGTACAGCTTTATATATGGGGCTCTTGGAGGGAACATGGCACAAGAAATATGCCATGAGTGGCACGTACTGCTGCGCAGCCTCCATGTAGTTGATACCGAACTCGCTTGGTTCGAAGCGTTTGACGGTGGGAGATTTGGCTGCGGCTCGAATGAGATTGATCTGTGAAGCACTTTCCGCCTCGAAGTTCAAGGGCACACGGGATAAAACAGTGTCAATGTTGTGAGACGTCAGGACATGCTCGATGTGATCAACCAAGTCGTAGTTGACGGAAATGATCGTGATTGATGCGTCGGTAGGTTCATGGGTTATCTGGATCAAATTGATTAATCGTCCACGTTACTAGGAGAAAGTGAACAGTTTGGTCGACTCTACCTTGCGAGAGAGAACAAAGACGTCGTGCTTCTTGGTCGAGGCAATTGCATTTGCAACCACGCTACCGATGCCGCTGTCGCGCCCGCAACTGCAACTCGAGTCATGTTTGTAGAATAGTCGCTTTGTGCAGTGTTTATTTTCCGGGGATGGATGAAGACTTTGTCGCATTGCCCATTTTCAAGCAGCCATGCTGGGGTTTGATCAACTTGAATACTCACAAGTCAGTCGTCAGAGTCGTATTCAATGTACTATATTACAAATCTGGCCATAATTGTCGACAAATTGACAAATCCCGTGGGCAGCATGGTGGTAATGTCTGTGTCCACATGTCAGCGTTTTCCAGCTCAGAAGCCCTGTTGGGGAGAAAAGTGGACTCAGTCACGTTACATGGTGAAAAGAGGGGTAATACTACTAGGGATACTTTAGGTAAAAATAAGAAAGAA